GGAAGAATGCTATATTTGGTTTTCTACCCTTGAACAACTCATGCGGAGTCTTTTAGAGAAGTGGTCGAATATTGACACGGTTGCTTACGAAGCATGTTGTACTAATTGCATCTGCCCAAAAATATTTAGGAAGATTTGCATCGCTAAGCATTATCCTTGCAAGCTCCACCAGTGATATATTCTTCCGTTCTACGACACCGTTTTGTTGAGGTGTTCTTGGTGCTGAAAAATTATGAGAAATTCCATGCTCTTCGCAAAAATCTTCAAAGTCTGAATTTTGGAATTCTCCACCGTGATCGCTTCTTATAGAGGCTATGGTGAGTGATTTCTCAATCTGAATTTGCTTCGCATACTTCTTGAATGCTTTGAAAGCATCATTTTTCTGCACTAAAAATAATGTCCATGTGTATCGAGAGAAATCATCAACAATAACTAAAGCATAAAAGTTACCTCTGAAGCTTTTTGTTCTTGATGGACCAAAAAGATCCATATGCAACAATTGAAGTGGCCTTGATGTAGAAACCACTTGCTTGGATTTGAAAGTTGTCTTGGTCTGTTTCCCTTTTTGACATGCATCGCATAATTTATCCTTGATGAATTTTATCTTTGGGAGTCCAACAACTAAATCATGCTTTATCAATTTGTTTAGATGCTCCATGTGGACGTGAGTAAATCTTTTATGCCAAAGCCATGCCTCGTTGTTGTTTTCCATAAGACACTTTACCTTCAAGGAAGAGTCATCAAAAGAAATCATAAAAATGTTATTATATCTTTTACCTTTTAGCAAAATGTCATGATTGACTTCGTGTTCTATCAAGCATTCCTCCTTTGTGAAGTTGATTCAGAACCCTTTGTCATACAATTTACTTATGCTAAGTAGGTTGTATTTAAGGTCTTCCACATAAAGAACGTCTTCGATGATTGTACATGGAGGTGCACCAATGGTTCCAACTCCAAGAATTTTTCCTTTATTATCATCACCGTAAGTAACGTATCCTTTGGCCCTTAATGATAGACTTGAAAATTTGTTTATGTCTCCCGTCATATGCTTCGAGAAACCGCTATCCAGATACCATTGATTAGTCGTTGTCTTGAAGCATACCTACAACACAAAATTAAGTAGTGTTAGGTACCCAAATTGCTTTGGGTCCTTGATAGTTAGTACCCTTTTCAACCCACACATAATGCCCTTTAGCAATGCCAATATTGCGCACATAGCAAGCATTAGGTGTATGGCCTTTAATTCCACAATAAAAACAAGTAGGTTGAAAGTGACTTCTATATCTAGGAACATAATTCTTTTTCTTCGCAACTTTTATCTTGTTATGATTTTGATGCTGAATTTTAGAAGTGCTTGCCTTTTCTTTAACAACTTGTTCACTTGCTCTTACAAAAATGGTCTCATTGGTGCTTGGTTTTGAAAATTTAGAATATCCTAATCCACTTTTATCATTAGGATATCTTTGATGTTTAAGAATTTCTTCCAAGCCAATTTGACCTTTTTCGTATCTTTCTAAAACTCTTTTAAGTTGAACAATTTAAAAAGATAAGAATTCACAATTCTTACATACAAGACTTTGTTTTTCATTTATCAATTTCTGTTTTTCATTTTCAATATTTTTCATAAAAACAGAATTTTGTTCTTCTAAAGATGAAATTCTTTTCTTTTGTGCTAAGATGTTTTTATACAAAGTCTTGCATTCTTTTAGAAGTTCATCTATAACTTCTTGTGCATCATTATCATAAACACAAAAATTGCTACTAACCTCATTTTCTTCATCGGAGTGGTGTGAAGCCATTAAAGCCATATTTGCACATTCATCGCTTTCTGATTCCGATGATGAACTTATCTCGTTATCTTCCCATGCGATATAAGCCTTTTTATTTTTGAAATCCTTCTTGCCTTTGAATTTTCCTTTATTTGCGAGTTTCGGGCAATCCGGCTTTATGTGACCTTGTTTCCCACATTCGTAACATGTGACTTCTTGATTTGATGTGGATACCTCCTTTTTCCTGAAATGTCTATTCTTTTTAGAGAAAGAGGAATTTTTATTATTATTAAAGAACTTACCAAACTTCTTTACTAGAAGCATGAAATTTTCGTCTTCTGAAGATTCGTCATTTTTGTCATCCTTTGTGTCAATCATCAAGGCAATTCCTTTGGACTTCTTGTCTTGACTTTCATGCTTCTCAAGCCTTCCAAGTTCCAGTTCATGCTCTTGAAGTTTGCCAAATAAGGAAGCGGATGTCATCGTTGAAAGACTCTTTTTTTCCGAAATAGCGGTCACCTTCGGTTGCCATTCTCTTGTTAAGGATCTTAGGACTTTCAAGTTGAGATCATCATTGGTGAAGGTCTTCCCGAGAGCAATCAAATGATTTGTTAGATGAACGAATCTCTTTTGTAAGGCAACAATGGATTCACCAGGCTGCATACGGAACATTTCATACTCTTGACTTAAAGTATTAAGTCTTGATCTTTTTACTTCGGCTGTCCCTTCATGCGTTTCAACCAAGGTGTCCCAAATCTCCTTTGCTGATTTACACTGTGATATACGGAAGAATTCGTCCATACTGAGAATGCTTTGAAGTATATTGAATGCTTTCTTCTCATTCAAAATTCTCTTCTTGTCATCTTCATCATATGAGGATTTTATCTTTGGAGTTCCAACACCATTTACCACACTTGTAGGAACATGTGGACCAGTTTCTACGGTTTCCCATATACCGTCTCCTTGAGCCTCAAGATGTGCCTTTATACGGATTTTCCAAAAATCGAAATATTCTCCAGAAAAGAGTGGTGACTTGTTACTACTTCCACCATCTTTGAAAACCGGGTTGGTACTTACGGAAGCCATACTGAATCGTTAGGAACGGGTTACCTTAACCTGCTCTGATGCCAATTGTAAGTTCAGAGTATGCCTAAGAGGGGGGGGGGGTGAATTAGGCTTATAGAAACTTTTTCAGATTTTTGGTATTCTTTAATTTTTCTTTGGTTATGTTCTTGGTGATGGATGCAGTAGAAAGCATAAAGAAAGTGGACACCACGATTTATGGTGGTTCCCCTCATAATCTGAGAGTACTCCACTCCCCTTTCAACACGAAAGAGAGTTTTTACTATTGTTTAAGAAATTACAACCTATCACACTATCAACCGGTGAGGCCTACTAACAAACAATTTCAACAACTTAAGATGCAAGAACAATCCTCTTGTAACACTCACCCTTGTGTCCAACAATCCTGGATCACAAGTCAAATACGAGTAATTCTAATGATTTGATGAGAGTAATAATAATGATATCAATACAAAGATTGATCTTCTCCTTTAATCAGAATTCACAACTTAATCTCAATACAAGTGTTCAAACAAATGGATGTGAAAGGTTATGCAAGTATGAACACTTTTTGAATGTATTTGAAATTATTTGAAAAGTAGTGAATATGATTCAATGATTGTTTTTTGAAAATTGTTGGAGGTGTTTTTTCGAAAAGAAATTTTCAGAATTTTATATTGGTAAAAATACCCATTCAAAAAGGTATAATTATGTGTAATTCAAAAGATGAAATGGTATAAAAATTACACAACATTTGAATTTAAAACAAAGCAATTTTTCAGAAAACGTTCAATGTTAATCGGTTAACCTATATGGTTAATCGGTTAACACTGGAACGTTAGGCCAGAAAATTTAAGTTTTGAAATGGTTAACCGGTTAACCCATATGGTTAATCGGTTAACACTGTTATTTTTCAGAAAAATACTTAATAAAACAATGTTATACCAATTCCAATTGTTTCAAAAACATGTTCATGCATTATGATCAAATGATAAATTATTTGAACACTTGTATATCAATTAAATTAGAGAATTTTGATATACCATAGCTTGTGTCCAAGTCTTGAAAGATGGTCGAGCAAATGTACATGAAGCTTGAATGTTGATAACTTCCATAATACTTTGATCTTGGTCTTTTGAAAGCTTTTGACTTTTTGCACAGATGAAATGAGCTTGAGTCTTGTTGTTGTCATCATCAAAACCTTGAAACCTTGAGATGAAGCATGCTTCTACAACATGGTTATTCATATTTTTACCTTTTGCTACAATATTCATAAATGAAACATGGTTATTATAACTTGAAAATGCAAAGACTAAGTGCACAAGTTTTGATCAACACCATACTGGGTATTCATAGTATTTCATTAACAAAATCAAGGTTTGCTAAAATTAAATGATAAATATATGTCTATAGTAGATAATGATATCAAGTCTTGCTAATAAAAAAGACAAATATTGATCCATAATAGATAATGACTCTCTTCTTTAAGCATACCACAAAACTTGCAAAAATAAAATAAAATAAATTACGCAAATATTTTATTCGTTAAAGATAAAAAAATATTCAAAAGTGATAAATAAATATGTTACCATTATCAAAAGGGATAGTCTGGAACAATGATATGTAACATTTCCTTCCGCTTATCGATTGGAATTCCATTAAAAACTTTCAATGCATCGACATTCTTAACAAGGTACATGTATACAAGAGGCAAAGAACTTGGTTCAACCCCAATCTCGACCAATTCAGCCCAAATATCTCCACCATTAACATTTTTACTCTGTTTGACCAGCTCCATGGAATTCATTTCAAACACATCAAACATTTTTTTGAAAGTTTTGGAAATCTCAATCATGCTTGTATCATCTTCAATAACCTTATTTATTCGCTTCTTAGTCCTAGATGTGATACATCTTGAGAATTGGTAATAGAAGGCCTTGTAGGAGAATTGTTGGAATGATGTTCATCATCATCATCAAATTCCTCCAAAATAACTTCATTAGTTTCAACTAAGTGGTCTATTTCTTCGATGGTTGTGCCATGACTTTTTTCAACATTTGCAACATTTTTTGCTCTCATTCCAGCAGTTGTACCTTCATGCTCTCCTGTTGCTCGATCTTTTCCAAAAAGTTTGGCCAATTTATCATAAAATAATATTGACTTGTTTTTTTATTCAGCAGCTTCGGGTTTTGCCTACACCAAAATAAACGAAACAATACATCCCTTAAAATGTTTTTAATGAGTGAACTCAAATAAAAATAATCGGGTAAGTGTATAAAACAATTATAGTAAATAATACCTCAATTAGCTTGTTCCAAACTTCATCTTCCGCAATCCATATATTTGTTGTTGAATCCCATCCAAACTCACTCAAGCCATTCTGGAAAAGGTCATAACAAGAATTGAACTTTGTTTTGATGTGTTTCATGTGATCTTTTATTTTTTCTTTGGAAATTGGTTTGTCCGGAAAGTGAGTCTTCAATTCTTTAAGAATGCTATCCATAGCGCTTGTTGTCATACTATTACCATTTTTATTTCCCAATGTTTGTTGATGCAAATATGCATCAAGCAAAACTTCATCCATAGCAGTTGTCCAATTGCATGTTTCTAGACTTTTGAGTTTCCTCGGCCTCTTTAAACTTGCTTCCATGTCTATTATTAAAAAACACAATGAAGAATATAATAACTTATGCACAAATTCAAATGTAAAGGTTCATCATACACTAAAATTCATTCCACAAATTACAAATAAAAAATTCAATCCAAATAAAATTCTTCAAAACATTATTCATAAGAGTAACAAATAATTAAGAATAATTTTAATAATCTAGCCACATAGAACCAACAACATTATCTCTAATTGGCTCTCCGCTAATCATATCATCATTTTCTTCTCTATGATCTTGATGACCCTCTTGAACATCTCTTTCGTTTGCAAGCTCATCTTGCACCTCATCAATTAGAGTTTGATTGGGGTCTTCACCCATCAAATAGTTGTGTAAAATGCAACAAGCAATGATGATTTTATTTTAAGTTTTAATATCAAATGTAGGCTCTGTTGCAGCTTGTAAAATTGGAAATCTTTTCTTCAACACTCCAAATGAACATTCAATAGACATTTGTAATGACGAATGTCGATGGTTGAATAACTCACGAGGGTTTCGAGGTTGATTTCTAGAGTATTCTTGTAAGTGGTATCGTTCTCCCATATACGGTGTAATGAGACATGCTTTTAAAGGAAATCCCGCATCACCCAGATAATATTTTCCTAAAAAAATAATGAGTCCATTAGTTTAGCTAATCTAAATACTTATACAAATATTTTTTTTATTACTTTTTATTACCTTGTGGAACTTTAAGAGGGTGCGCACGTGCCAACACACTCTTAACTATTCTTGAGTTAGAAGTAGTTCCTTCCCATCCAACCAAGACATATGTAAATTTCAAGTCAAATGAGCACGCATCTAACACATTTTGTGTGGGATAATCTTTTCTACCGTGGTATCTAGGTGCGAGTTCTATTGGAACTTTAACACGCATATGCGTGCAATCAATTGCTCTAATACAGTCCTGACATTAAATTTATATATTAAAAGTGTACAAGAAAACTATCAATATTTGTATAAGACAAAAAATTTGCGGAGGCACTTGTGTTCCATCAGGTTGTTTTAAAATTTTCCCTCCACCTCTATCAAAGCATCTAGCACTCTATGAAAATGACGACTAATAGTTTCACCGGAGCGTCTAAAAAAGAAGGACATCACACGGTTTCTAACATTATGTCCTACTATATGAAGAAATTTTGCTACTTGTTCTTCGATAGACACTCTTCGTGTATATGTAAGTCCACCTTGATCTTGTAATAAGGTGCACAAGTTTAAGAACGCTTTGGGACCCATACGAATGATATCATAACATCGCTCACTTCCTACAATATGTTTCATCAACTCATTTCTAACTTTCTCTCTTTGCTTTGTGATTCTATAAGGTATTTGAGATCTTCTACGCTTGTCTTTTTGCGAACATATTAGAACAATAATGATAGATACTTGAAGAATCATCATTTGAACCAATTTCATATACTTGATTCTTATGTCTTCGTTAGTCATCTATCACAAATTAAACAACAAAATTTACTCTAATTATAAATTCATATACAAATAAATCAAATTAAAATATTTATAACAAATAAAATAAATCATATCAAAATCAGAACAAATTGATTAAGAATTTTTAAAACAAATCAAATATATAATTTCAATCCCAAATTAATTAAGAATCTTTATAGCAAATCAAAATTTATGTTACTAATAATTATTTTTCTATTATACTACATAATATTATTAGCCAATTTTATGTTACAGTAACTAATTTTAGTTTTTCTCTATACATAATAAGAATACAACCAACGTGAATAGTAGTGAAAAGTAACAGGAGTAGTTTTGCAACAAATCTAATTTCTACTTTTGTTCTTAATAAAAAGTTAATTTAACATACAAAACACTATAAAGTAACATAAATCATAATTTTAGGTTTTGTTTTTCGTAACTATATCTAATTTCTGAAAAATGAAAAAGACATGAACATGAAGATAAATCAAGATATTTAATTTAATAGAGCACACATATAAATACAGGTAAAAAAATGAGAAGAAATATGATGTACCTTGTTATGGTAGAAGAAAGAAAGACTCTTTGCAAGCAAGAAGAAGGCCTGTGAAGGAGAAAAGTTGCAGTGAATGAATAGAAAAATATCACGTTGATTGAAATAAGGAATAAGAGCGGTTAATAATAAAAGTGAAAATCTGGAGGATAAAATTGTAATTGTTTTATTAATTGATTCCATTCCATTGGATACATCCCAATTTGGAGGGAATGAAAAATGGGCTAAAACGTGGTATTGGATGGAATGTATTCTATCATACTCCATTCCATTCCATTCAATTTTTGTAAATCCAAACAATGTAACATAACTCCACTCCACTCCACTCCATTCCATTCCATCCCTTTCTATCAATCCAAACAGACCCTCAATGACTTGTTTCAAAAAACTAGAAGACGGTTCCATCAACTCTTTAATAAAAATGTGTGATGAGTTTACATCACAATTAATAGCACATAAACGTTAGCCAAAAACGATAGTCATCCTCATAGTTTCTCATTGTATCCGCCACTTAATACTTTGAGATGAAATATCTTACATGAATGCACCAAAATAGAATTCAAAGAGGCCAAAGTAAGGTACCCTCATCCTATGAAAGAATCTCCACAAATGGACAAGTCAAAATTATGTCGTTTCCATAAGAGTCATGGGCACAACATTGATGAATGTGTATAATTAAAGGATGTCATAGAAAAGATGATTAAGAAGGGGAGATTGATCATATACGCCTAAGAAGGTAAAAAAGACAATTACAAACGACATAAAAGTTCCCCCAGAAGGTCTTGAAGAATGAGCGATTCAGCACAAAATAAAAGGGATCGTGAAGAGAAAGATCACAGAGCTAATAATGCAAACATTCATCACCTAAGAAAACAATTGAGGCTATACCGATAAAGGTAAAGATAATACAAACAGGAATACAAAGTTCGTAGAGAAAAACAAACATTCATAGCATATGTCACTAGATGGAACACCTTCATCACTTCCATAACTAGAGGGTTTCCATGTCTGAAGGCACCATTTAAAGGGATCGTGAAGAGAAAGATCACAGAGCTAATAATGCTAGTTTAAAAAGGAGGGACATTTTTTGATGAGAATACGGAAAGGCCCGTCATAGGAATTAGATACAATGAAAAGGTAGGTTTCATCCTTAATGAGATCTTCACACTAGTGATCACGATGACCATGTCCAATTTCGATGTCTTGAGGAATCTCACTGACGGAGGAAGATAGTGTGATATCATGTATGATGAACTCTTTAAGAATCTAAGCTTGAAAAAGGAAAAACTATCATCGTATACAAGTTACAACCAACAAGCTTTAAATGGAATATTAACCTATCCTTTGAGATTTTATAGAGCTCATGGTTACCTTCGGAGAAGGAAGAGACACACGAACAATAAACTTCCAATTTCTGGTGGTCTATTATAAAATTGTCTACAACTTCATCTCAAAGAAACCTTTATAAGATATTATAGATATAGTTGCCTCCCTTGTCCACGTGAAAATGAAGCATCATAAGATACACGAAAAATCGATGACTATATGTACTAACCTAGAAGAATCCCAACGCATACAAAAAGCTCTATAATGTAACCTAAATGAAACATATATCTATTAGAAGGGGAAGGTGTAATGGTCCAACTTATTTTATTTATTTTTTTGTAATTCAATTATATGATAATTGTGATTGTGTTGTGTTAATGGTGTGTTTGACTACCCTTAGATGTGGGGTAGTGTCCTTAAGTATAAACTTTAAGATGCTGGGGTGTGTGAGCTGTGGAACTTGGTGGTGTGCTGAGTAAGACTAATTGAATTATATTAGTTAATAATTATTTAATTATTTAGTATTAGGTGGATATTAATTTAATTAAATAATTGATGGAATTATCATTATTATAATTATTATTATTTAATTAGTTGGATTAAGTTATAATAATAATAATAATAATAATAATAATAATAATAATAATAATAATAATAATAATAATAATAATAATAATAATAATAGAATAATAATAAGAAATAAGGGGAGTTGAGAAATAGAAGTGTCAGATCGTGAAAGTTTGGCGAAAAGAGAAAGGAAAGTTAGGGCAAAAGGGAAGAGAAGAACACCATTATTGAGAAGCTTTTGCAAGAACTCTAAGGTAAGAGTGAGGTTCTAATTATCTAAGGGTTAGTATGATGATGATGGTGGGTAAATTATTTCATGCTTAGGTTGTGTTCTTTTCTCTATATATATGATCATTGTTGCAATTTTGTGGTTGTTGGATTGAATAATCATTTTGATGAACTATGAATGTAAAATTGATGTGTTGTTGCTGTTGGAATCATGAAATTGATGGATTGTGTGATGTAGTTGTTATGTTGTTGATGGTGGATTACGAGTCAGAGTCAGAACTTAAGTTGTGGATGTTTTTGGGGAGAATAATTAGGGTTTTGATGTTTATGAAAACTGATTTTTGAGTAAAACCATGTGTTACACGAATTGTATGAAAATTGGAATTTTAGGGTGTGTCAAAAAGTGCTTTTCGTACTGAAAAGCAGCAGAAAATTGCTTATGCTGCAGGTGTACTCAGTTACCAGAAAAAGGGTAACCAGTTACGCTGTTGAAAAATTTTGTTTTGGGGAAAATTCGTGAGGGTGTAATCGGTTATCCTGATTGTGGTAACCGATTACACTAAGTGTAGTTTATGTAGTGTGACTGGTTATAGAGGGTATAACTGGTTACCTCATTTGGAGTAACCGGTTACATTGGGGGCAATTTTTTAAAATCTTTAAAAATTCATAACTTTAATTCCGGGAGTCCGATTCGGGTGTCGTTCAATGTGCCATGAAGCTGACGCGACGAGATTTATTTACAAAATGATTTTTGTACCAGAAATTGAATAATTTGCTCTGTGTTGGTGTTAATGCATTGTAACACTTATGTGGTGGTGTAACATAATCTGAAATATGTTGTTGTTGGTTGCTATATTGATTTATTGA